TTTTTTTTTTTTTTTTACAATCGATGGTTTAATTTTTCTTATTTTTGAAATAGGATTGGTGTCATTAGTAGATTATTTATTGCCAACATATCGCATATTCTCACGAATTACAAATATAATTCCTTTTTTTTCTTTTTAATGTTGTTCATTTTCATATCTTTATCGTTATATATATTTACATCGTGCATAAAAACTTTTTTATAATGAACACTTTAAATTCGCGTTACCTATTCGACGCGTAATTTTTTGGGGGGATTTCCTTATCAAGCCCATTATTATTTTTTTTTAATTCATGTAAGCCAATCAAGATTTGAAAAGACAACAACCTCTAGAATAATCGATAAGATATGATAAGCTTTACTTTGAAATATGTTTTTTTCGTAAAAAAAAAAAAAATTGGCATAGGCATGTTAGTCTATTACGCTGACACATGGGTATAAAGATGTGACATGCCAAATACGAAAATTATGATTGTTTCTTTGTTTTTTTTTTCCTTTTATGGTTAATAAATTTATGGTGTTTGGTGCAAGGTTTGCGCACTACTCAGTAATCAAATTATGTCTTTATTATATAATATAAATGAATAAAATAGTTTTTAATGATCAAAAAACGGATTATAGTTACTAAAATGTTATCATTATTTTTGAAAAAAATGTGGAATGTTAATTTTTTTACAATAGTGTAACTAACATAAAGTATTCAATTTACACGTCAATGTCAAACCTTAACGAACGCCAAACCTTAACGGGCACGCGAACTATCCATATTTACACTGTGATGGCGTTCTTTTATTAATTATTTGAAACAAGGAGGAAGCTTAGATCCAAAGAAACTAATAGCATAACCCTTTCATGATTTGACTTTTATGTACGTACAATGACACACCGACTCAATGATTAAAGTACCCAAGATTAAATAAACACTTGTTTAATATGACAAGGCTATGCCTACACTGTTATTCTATTTTCGATTGGCCATTTGTTATAGAAATTTCCTTTTTTTGAAGTGTCACATTCAACTTTTAGAAATTTATATAAAAGATGAAAACGTGATGGCGCATACATACAGATCGTTAACAGTGGAGACAGTGGGTGCATTATTTTGACGTAATTAGTGCATGTGCATCCATACCCCGGAAATGTATTTATTGTATACGATCAATTCCCTCCGTTTTATTGATTGCTTTGTCACACTATCTACACTATTCCTCGTGATGTATGTGATCGATGCAATAACATAAAAAATATATATATGTATAAACTCGAACATCATTGGCACCATTCATCATATGTCGAAAAAAAAATGGCCTCACAAAATAACGCAAATTCTTCAATCCCTGATCAAACCACACCGAATCACACTGTTCCCCCGATAAATTTTGGCAAATTCGAATTCTTACTTTCAAAATTGACTGATGAAGAATTGCAAATAATATTAAATCCACCTCTACGCCTTGTTCTAACAGTTGAAGAGCTTTTCGGTCCTGCAAAAAGACCTTCAAAAAATCCCAATCCACCTCGTTCTTTAAATGCATACTTCCTTTGGAGAAGAAACTATGATGCATCACAACCTCACAAGAATTGTACACAACGTTCAAAATATTCCAGTGTTATGTGGAAGAGATCAGACGATAGAATAAAACGTTTTTTTAAAATTTTATCAGAACTTCATAAGATCTATCATGGACTGAAATATCCACAATATAAATATCATCCAAGGAGAAATACACATTCTAAAGCTAAAGAGAGATTGGTAATATTTTCCAATTTAGTACATATATTATGAATTCTCGTATGACAAATATAAATTGTTTTCTATAGAACCTTACACCTCTTGACTATGATAATGAAGTCCAGGAGAACTCAACGACAAATTTTGATCTAGAAGACTCTCATATTGATATAAAGAATGGCCTTGAAGTCTGTGAACATTATGAGAAAACCCTTGGCCTGGAGTACTTATTGGAACTTGCTAATCACGTACAAAGGTTTCTATCTTTATTAATAAAATCGATTACTGTATTATCAAGAAACCAACGCCCAAGAAAGTACAGTCAACGCTCCATAAATGCACCCTTCATAAATGCACGCACTATGTATAACTACTCTAAATTAGGGATTGGAACCGTTTAACCGTTTAAAAATTGCTCCATAGTTTCGGGCAGAATTATGAAAAATTTTAGGTGGTTCCAATCCCTACTCTAAATGCACACCATCTTAAGTCTCAAGCACACATAGATCACTTAATAAAATACCCACCATAAATGCACACCCTCCCTAAATGCACATTTCAAAATTTTTGCCTATAGTCCCAAAAAGGGGTACATTTACGGAGGGTTGACTGTAGTTCCAAATTACCACTTGAGTTAAGCTTAATTCAGGTCATTATTCGAAATAACGCACATACTCGCTATTTCACGATAATACAAAAGTGCAGTATATACGTACGTATTGATTTTTGAACATCATTCTTTTAAAATCTATAGTTCTTAACAAGCACGAAGACTCATTGACTGGAGAATAACAATATATGATTATTTATATACTTTTTTTAAGAGCTGAACCAAAAATTATAATAATAAATACTCTTAAAACCTTACTTAATATGTATTCAACAAGTCTCTTCGTTGAACACGTTTTTGTTCAATAAAATATTTCGAATGTGAACTCGGGTTTAAGTTTCTCATTCGGATCATTTTTCCCATATAATATAATTTTTATAAATTGCTCTTCACTCTAAAGGAAATTTCACATGAGGGATACATTTATCCATAGTTCTGACAAACTACGTGTATATAATTTAGCTTAAAAGATATAAAAATGTTGCAGTCACGTAAATATTTATGGCGCAAACAAATCAGATTTCAATATCAGGTGGAACGTTACACGATCAGTAAAATTCCAAACGGTTCTACATCTCGAGGTAGGAACATCCCGAATGCCCCGATCTTGTAGATCGTTACACAATTATTCAAATATTTTTTTTATACGTTTTACAATACTTTTTTCGGAAGCTCGGGTGGCTTAACTCACAAGTAAAGGGGGGCAAGTGCACTAAGTAAACTTGTAGCCTTTGCTTAGCCATATAACATATTTGCTTAATCCAACTTAATCCAATAGCGTTTATATTTTATTTACTTAACAAAGTTATATTTAAAATTACTAAATATAAAAAATATAAAGCTACTAAATCTAATAAATTCTATTTATTAAAGAATGAAAAATGGAGGCAGGCTAAAAGAAATAGCTTAACAAAAGTAACATAAGAAGAGGGTATTATTCTATGCAACTTGTGTTATATGAATTTAGTAGAAAATTCATTATAAAAGTTTAAAAAAAAATATTAAACAAGTAAAAGTTTTTGTTAAAAAGCAGAAAATATAGATAAAAATATAGAAGGTATAAATATAAAAGAAGTTTCAAATCAAAATGTAGAAACTGTAATAGAAGATATAGAAGATCTAGATACAATTTATTCTGTTAGGATTATTGAGATTATAACAAAAGCTTTTATAAAAGAGAATATATAAAAAAAAAAACATATATATTTGTATAATGAATTAAAAAAAGTATTTCAAGCAGATAAGAATCTTAATAATTTTTTTAATCAACTTTATTTAGTAGTAAAGTCTTTTGTTTTTTTTTTTTTGTTTTTTTTTTTTTAAGATGAGGTCATGCCTCAAGTCTGTTTATTCGAACATATTGTTACAGTTTGTACAACTTTTTACATTATACATTATCTATTACTATATGTCTAATTAAAAAATAAGACTCAGACTAATTTATTTGCGACCTAAACCTACTAGAGCTAATCTTGTATCCCACTTACACATAACCTGGATTTTTGTTTCACATCCATCTATATTAGATAATCTGCATATTCACCTCATGTCTCACAACCTATTTAAACAACTTCCAAATTGGTCTACTGGGTCGTTCACTTCTTATGAGCTACCATCTTTGGTCTGCCAGAACAATGCCTTACAGTTCGTTTCTCAGGCCAGGGTCCTGCTACCACTGCTAACTTCCCAATTCAAGTACTAGTAGTATGTATCTCAAGCCAGATTCCTGTTGCCGCTACTGGTTTGCACCCTTCTGGTCTTAATGTTATTTTCAATAAGTTGTGCAACTAACCTGCCCCTTTAGTACTCACTTTTATGGTAATAGTCCGAATCTGTTTTGCAAGTTACCTCTTCCAGCTGTCGCCATCGTAATATTACTATTACTTCCAATTTGGAATATCTCAACCTTGATTGGTATAGCATTCATGTTGGTACATTCATCCTTATTATCGTCATAGACTTCCATATAGGTGTGACCAGAGCTTCAGCTTGGTACCTTTAGATGTACAGAACAGATTACTTCCTCTATACATTTGCTATCTTCAATATCAAAACGTTCCACAGTGCCAGAAGTGCTTCCAATCTTGATAAGGCTAATCCTTTTCTACAGCCCATCCTCATGTTCACTGCTTCTCTTATCATTCCAGTCTTGGTTATTTCCAGACTACTCTCCCAATCAAATTCTTTTTCCTTGGGTCCCAATTAGGACTTATTTGCACAATCCGATGATTATCCTTCCAAGCAAGTACCCCACAAGTTGGGTGCGGAGATGTTGGTATTGCCTAATTAGGAGGTATAGGGATGTTGGTGCTGCCCTAGCCTAAAGGACTTACATGTGCAATCTTTCCATAACTGTAACCTTCTGTAACAGCCACTTGTTACACATAGTGCCTGCACTCTATGATTGGGTCTTCTTCCAGGAATTCCTACTTTGGTCATGTACTGCACTTGAACTTAACTACAGGGCTTTGCATTCAATTACTGGCTTCTTATTGGGTTATAGAGGCTAAAATCTTTTAGTTTTTGCCTCCAGCTGGACTTGAACCATTGATCTTGACTGTAGGGGTATGGGAGCTTAACTGCTAAGCTATGGGACCCACACCCATGTAAAGTCTTTTGAACATATTAAAAAAATTATAGATTATATAAAAAAGTTAATTATTCATATTTGTTATCTTCTTGCATATTAAATATTATAAATGATGCTGAAAACAGATAATATTAAAAATTATGTGATTCATAACCACAAGTCATGTCACATGACATTAGATATGGCATCCTAAAAATTTTGAATATTGTGTAATATGATCATAAAGAAAAAAAATAAATCTTTTTTTTTGCACTATATATACAAATATATAAAACCTATTTAAGAAAACCTACCATTCACTTAAACAATAGTAGACACCTACTGCCCACTTAAAAAAACCTACTATCCACCTAAGCAGTAGTAGACACCCATCACCTATACAAAAAAATATATTACCTACCTAAGTAGTAGACACTTATCAACATATCTGCAAATAAAAGTTTTATATTTGTTAAAGTTTTTTTTTAAATAAAAATACTAGCAATTTCCAAAATTTCTAAAACAGTAAAGAAGTATCAGATGGTTGTTGAATATCTTCAATTAGGAACTGTCCTGGATAGCATTCAAAAAACTCCTTATGCAAAACACAATTTTATTTGCCATTACAAAAATTTTGAAGTTGATGAGAATAGTATTCTTTACATTAAGAAAGTTGTAAAAAATAGTGTGACCAAGTTAGAAAAATATCATATAATCTTTAAGTATGATATAGAAATGTATGCTATAATATTGAAATGCTTTCATAATCAGGCCAACCATCATAAGTATCATAAAATCTTCTCTGCAATTTCAAAAAAATATATTGGAATCATACAAGAAAAGATAAAAATATATATAAATAAATATTGTAATATGGTTGCTTAACCTAACTAGATTCTAAATATTTGTTTAATAAATATGTCGTCGCCAGTCAAAT